CACTGTGAAAGAAACGATCTTTCTCCGAAAATGCTGCTTTTCTGAAGACAGCCGTTTTCCCTCTTGGTCTTTCTTTGCCACCTCTTGTTTAACGTATAATCAAGAAATAACAAAAAAAAAAAAAAAAAAAAAAGGGCAACCAGCAGCCCTCGGGGCTGCTCTGCCTGTGGAGTAGCCATTTTCTTTCTCTTTTTTTTTTTTTTTGAGATGGAGTCTCACTCTGTTGCCCAGGCTGGAGTGCAATGGCGTGATCTCGGCTCACTGCAAGCTCTGCCTCCTGGGTTCATGCCATTCTCCTGCCTCAGCCTCCCAAGTAGCTGGGACTACAGGTGCCTGCCACCACGCCTGGCTAATTTTTTTGTATTTTTAGTAGAGACGTGGGTTTCACCGTTGTTAGCCAGGGATGGTCTCGAGTCTTCTGACCGTGAACACAGCCCGCGTGGCCCCAAAAGTGCTGGAATTAACAGGCGGAGCCACCATGCCCAAGTCTTTTTTTCTTACATCTTTTTTACAATTCTAATCCTATTGTGGCCTGCACAAAAAAGTGGACTACCCTGAATCCTTCTGGACATCCCAACCCACTTCGATTACGGACCTTTCTGGAACCACTCCTGGGCTCCCCTATGAGAAAAACACACACCACACCTCTTACCCCACTGAGGATTTTTTTTTTGAGACGGAGTTTTGCTCCTGTTGCCTTAGGCTGAGTGCAGTGGCGTGATCTCGGCCACTGCAGCCTCCGCCTCCTGGTTCAAGCAATTTCTTGTGCTCAGCCTCCTGAGTAGCTGAGATTACAGGCACCTGCCACCATGCCTGGCTAGTTTTTTATTTTTAGTAGAGATGGGGTTTCACCTTGTGGGCTGGTCTTGAACTCCTGACCTCAGGTGATCCACCCACCTTGGCCTCCCAAAGTGACACAGGCATGAGCCACCGTGCCTGGCCCCCACTGGGATCTTATAGGGCTTTGGGGATCACAGGGGGCCCAGAAATGTGAGGGGCTGTTATTGAAGAAGGAGTGGGGCTGGACTTAAGTGGCCAGCACTGGAACTGGGGACAAAACCCAGGACGCTTGACTCTTGGCTAAGGAGCCTTCCAGCCTGAGGCTTCTGTGACTGGTGGGGGACCAAGCACCCCCTGACCCTGGCTCTCTTGTCCTGTCTGACCAGTGAGGTACAAGTGAAAGCTCAGCCCATGGTGCCTCCAGCCAAGTCATTTCCATCTCAAAGCAGGGCCTACTTTCACCATAGATTATCCCCTGGGCGGTTTCTTCTCATGTAGCTACATCTAGTTTTAAACCTCAGTTGGCAGCAGGCAAAGTGTGTTGGGCTCTTGGTGGACCCAGGAGATCACCAAGGTAGTTGCCGGTCACTTCCTCTCACTGCTGTCTTCAAAGTCTGGTGGGCATTGACCACAGAGGGAAGCCTGCAGGCTGCAGCCTGCCCGTCAGAAGCCCCTGGGAAGAGTATGTTCATGGAACGCTGTGCCCTGCATTATCACAGGAAGTCCAGTCTTGAAAACACCGAGTCTTCCGGGTCATTTCTCTCCTTGACTCCGTGCTGCAGGACACCGAGCTGACTCAGCCTGTCTCTGGTCTTTGTTGCCAGTGACAGAGCCTGAGTACTCTGAGAGGGCAGGTGGGGGAAGATAGGCAGCTCTGCTCCACCCAGACCTCTTACAGGGACAGTGCCAGGCTCCAAGGGCAGCTCAGAGGGTTTGGGGAGGGCCGAGTGCTGTCCCCTCACCACCCTCCCCTCTGACCCTAGGAGCAGTGGCTTTATCAGGAGGCCAATCTGGGGGCTGCCTGTGCACTGTGTGCATTTGTTAAAGGGGGTGCCAGCCGGCCGGCCCTCCTCAGCGTGCTTCCCATAGCCCATCACTGCATCTGAAACCACGCCAACAGAGGAAGTGTCCCTCTGAGGAATGGCACTTCTTCTGGTCCCAAGAAGCCCTCTTCAAAATGCAAGTACCGCAGGAGGGTATGTATCAGCACCAGCTGATTAACTGGCACCCTTATACATCACCATCATGCCAACACCAGGCGCACCCAGAGCTGCAGTCTCAACCGTTAGCTTAAGAATCACCTGGAGTCAACTGCTTCCTGCTTAGAAACAACAAACTCGAAAGGACATTTCGAGGATAGTCAAGGAAATCTGAATATGGACTATAAAATGATATTGAATTCATGTTAATGAATCAATCTCCAGTGTGGTAATAGTATTGAGGTAATAGAGCACAAAGCAGTTACTTAAGAAATAATTCCTATTGCAGTTTTTCTGGGCTGTGAAACTGGCCTCAAAGACCAGGCAGATGTTCCAATACATACCACTCCTGTGTCCTTAACTTCCCTGGTTATGCGGGACTCTCCATAGAGGTGCCTCAAAGCATCCCCATACAAGGAGGTACGTAAGCCCGCTCCTGTGACCTCTTAACAGCTCAGACAGGCTCCTGGATGAATCCCAAGGTTAATCAGGAGCCACCTCTTGCCCTGGTGAAGGCTCTGGTGAGGAGTGGAGCTTTGCAACCCGCTGGCCTGCATAATAACTTGTGAAGATCTTGTGAAGATCCCTTGACCGTTTGACCGTCTCCCTGGAAAAAGCATCACTGCCTCTTTTTTAAAAAATGTATTTTTAATTAGTATGGATATATGTATTTATATATTTATAGGGTACATGTGATGTTTTGGTACAGGCATACAATGTGCAATGATCAAATCGGGGATTGGCATATCCATCACCTCAAGTACTTATTGTTAAGAACATTCCAGTTCCACTCTTAGTTATTTTAAAATATACAATAAGTTGTTAACTATAGTCGCCCTCTTGTGCTAGCAAATACTAGATCTTATTCATGCTCTCTAACTGTATTATGTTCTTATTAAGTATCCCC